CACACACACACACACACACACACACACACACACACACACACACACACACACGCACGCACACACACGCACGCACACGCACACGCACACACACGCACACACACAAGTAACTTATAATTACCAAGCGTTTTCATCCTCTCAGCCCTTCGACTGTTGACTGCTGCATCCTTGCTGTTTGTCGCTCTTGATCGCCTATCTGAACACATCAGTTGCTCTTTTCCTTGATAGTGTCCCGTGACTTGATGTCCTTTGAGTTCTCTAATCAAATCTTCCGTTATAGCCACCTCTCACTCAAGATAAATGCCAGTCTGAATTGACTCAACTGAGATAAACGTGTTTTGCTTCGGTGAGCTGTTGTTTCTTATAATTTTTTATGTTTTTGGAAATTTCTGATAAAACCTACCGAGTGAGTTTTGTACACTCGTGAGTTGACTTCGCATTTTTACTTCTTTGTGGCTGTTCTGTGGAAGATTGGAAGTATATTTCGTTAACAACTTTTTTCATCTATGTTACTGGCCGTATCGTCATTAGTGAAGCAGACGGAATCAAATATGAATAAGAGGAGGAAGAGGAGAAGAAAAAGAGATGACCGCTGGTGCAGCACCTTCTGAAATTAAGGATTCCTTGTCAGTTTAATCTGACGATTCAGATTAATAGTATTTTCGAGTGCAGTTGGTTTGGATCCGACCCAAAAAAAATTCCTATGTTTGATCCAAAAGTATCATGATCTTGTCCAATCAGAAATCAAAATAAAGTGTATGACATTATTGACCCAACCTGGATTAAAACTCACTGCACTTGAAAACACTTGTAAGTTTCTGCGTCGGTGATTACCTTACTCATTTTCTCATCAGCTGTCGAAAGCGCTTTCTCATTTTTTCACAAGTTTTTCTTCACAAACCTTCCCTTTTCATTCCTCACATGCGTCGCTGGATCGTTCTCTTTTCGTTTTTTCGATTTGTAAGCTGTCTTTCTATTTCTCAATGACCATTGCGTATTTCTCCTTTTTCTGAGTTGCATCCCTTCGTTTGAATTTGACATTATTGGTAAATTTCTTCTTAAGCTCATCATCGATCGTGTTATTATCTCTGATCTGCTCGTTTTTGTTCTCTTTCTAACTTTGCTTGTCCGTGATGCTGCGGTATCATCATCTGTAAACACGCAGTATGATCGATTTATTTGAGATCCTGTAATATCATATATTATCCGATACGTTTTATTTTCCCGGATGTTCTTCCTTGGTCTTTTGTCCTTCAATGTAACAACCATTGATGCTTCACACATGCTGTGGCCGTTGTTGTCCACTATTGTGAATTTATCGCTGAAATTTTTGCTTTGTTCACCTGTTGTCAAGTAAGCTTCTATCGCTTCATTTAGTCGTTTTTCCATCTCTGCATTCTCCTCTTTAGCCTCAGTTTCTTCAATGTCATCGAATTTCTCCAAAAACTCACGCATTTTTTTAATTCTTGCAACCCTTTCATTAATCGTTTTCTGCAGTTCACTTCGTCTTTCAATTTCTGTCATTAGTCGTTGCTCCTCTTCCTTTATCTCCTCAATAGTTTTGAACTCAATGTCTTGTGTTTGCAACATACTACTTGATGTCATCGTCACAGGATTGATTACTTGCAGATCTTGCGAGTCGTCAACATGTATTAGCTCCACATGTGGTTGCTCCACATGTAATTGCTTCACATGTGGTTGCTCCGTATGTGATTGTTCCGCATGTGGTTGCTCCGTATGTGACTGCTCTACATGTGATTGCTCCGTGCATGGCTCGTCCATTTGTACCTCATCCATTTGTATCTCTCTATTCCATACTATTGCTGCATGATCCACTGGAGCTAATCTCCAATTAATTACTTCCTTCAGCTCTTCTTTTTCCTTAATGTCAATATGTGGGTTTTCCTCAATTTCAAACGCTTCATCCACTAATATCCCCGTTTGATGCTCTGAAATCTGATCCCACTTTTTCGCGCCATCATCATAGATTAAATTTCTATCGAGAAATACGTTATCTTCCGTTTCTTCTATAGTAATTACTGGTATAATTCTCTTTTTAAGTCCCATGTTGCCTTCCGGCAACACGGTATTTTCGTCGTATTCTTCGTCGACGTTTTTCATTATAAAATCATCGTTCTCCACAAGCATATCGTCGATTGGCCTCACTATTAACCTCTCTATTTGTGACATGTTGAGAGCCATCGTTAGAGTCCTTGCCATTTGATTCTTTTTAAATCTTCCTAATGAAATCGTCGATAAATCGAACTCGGTTCCTGAATCGATCCTGGATCTCTTGAATTCTTAAATTTTCAGTCAAGTTTGTATGAATTTTACCGGTATTTGTCGTTATTATCAGCTGACATGTTTTCATTCGTGAATAATACCGCCATGGTGAAAAAAGACAGGTGAGACAACTTGAGGAATAGGACTAAAGCGCAGTAGGACTAAAACAAAATTTGATTGGCTAGCTGATTGCTTTGAATTGCCGTTATGCACATCTCTCTTCTGTTTATAATATACTGAGCGAGTCTTTCCTATTCTAAACTATAGAAAACTACGGTTCGACGAAGAAAAAGAGAGGCAGGCAGATCGCGAAAAGACAGAATGACTTTTGTGTCAATTTGTGTCTCTTGCTGGAAATCTCCTTTTATAGCACAACAGGAAATCCTCTATCAGGGGTCGGTTGTGTATCTTCAAATAATGTAAAAATTACAACAGTGAGCAAATTCACTAGAGTATTCTTAATTTAATTGGTCAATACATAGTAACCTTTGCTTACTTTTTGTAATTTTCATCTCGGGATCGATTCTGTATCTTTCAAAGAAGGTGAAAATTACAAAAGTGAGAAAATTTACTAGGTGTTGACCAACGAAATAATCAGTATTCTAGTAAATTCGTTCACTTTTATAATTTTTGCTTCATTTCAAGATACAGAATTGATCCCCTCCTTTCAAAATCCACAATCAACCCTCATATTGGCCATTAAAGAGAGATTGTTCATTTTCTAGCCAAATCTTACGAATGAGAAAAAATATGTTCTATCTTGCTCTAGTGCCAGGAAGAAAAAGACATATGTTATCTTGCTTCGATTAACGCGAATAGCTAGGAAATAGCGGACCAATCAAAAGAGCATCCTGATGGCCAGAGTCTTTGGCTGTGTTCCAAAATTTACTACAAATACTGAAAATCTAGTTTACGTCACGTGCACTATAGATTTTCAGTATTGGCGTCTAATAAAATAAAATAAAATATTATAATTGGAATTTCCGCAATAAAAATAAAATGTCCATACATATGTAATTTGTACACGTTATCGTGGTACAGTCAATATTCCCAATTTTCCCCGCAAGCCGCTTTTCGAGCTCACTATTCAATCTTTTCATTCCCCGAGTTTTCATCTTCTTAGATCTGTTCTTTATTCCTGCACTATCTGAATTGGTGCATACGATGCAATAAGTTGAAGTGAAATAAGGTCTGTTCTTTTTAATTGAACTTTTGTACCAATTCATCTTTCTTTCTTTTCTCTTCAGGAAGAAAGAAAAAGAGGAAAGATAAACTGATGCAAAAATTAAGCCAAAAAGAGTAGCCTTAAATATATCTCTGTTTCGCTTTAACTTATTGCACTTGAATGCACTAGTTCAAACAGTGCAGAAATTAGGTCTGTTCTTATTCACTGAACTTTTGCATCAGTTCATCTTTTTTCTTTTTTCCTCCAGTTTATCTTTTTTCCTTTGCTCTCTAACAAAGAAAGAAGAGGATGAAAGATGAACCGGTGCAAAAGTTCAGCCATAAAGAACAGACCTCTTTTTTTTAATCCGTAAGTCGTGCGTCCACGTGAATCGTATGAGTAGTTCAACAAGTGTAATCGAAGAATCTTATTTATCCTTCTTACTACCATTTATTTTATTTGTTCTTATAATGACGAAGAAAACATTAAAGAGAAAGCAGAAGGAAGATGTAGAGAAAGAAGATGAACCGAAAAAGAAAGTGGCAAATGAACCTGTCGCTAAAAAGGTTTGCAAATAACCTATACTAAAATTACTCAGTATAATTAATATTGTAAAGTACTAATTAATGAAAAAGAATTACATATAAAATATATCAGTATTTTCTGTTTAGAAAACATATTTAATCAAAATCAGTTAAATCAGTAATTAAAAAAAAATTGTAATGGATATAATTTAATAAGTGTAATTTAATAGATATAATTTAATAAGTATAATTTAATAAATATAATTTAATAATTATAATTTAATAGATATAATGTAATAATTATAATTTAATTGATATTATTTAAAAGATATTTTTGTAACTTTTATATAATCTCTTTACTGTTACTCTTTGTATACATTTGTTTAATGAAAAGGAAAATTGAAATAATTTTTTTCTTGTAGGTGAAATGGATCAACAGGCAACGGGTATTGGTATTTGCTACTCGGGGTATCAATTATAGGCATCGACATCTTATGGAGGATTTAAAAAAACTGATGCCACATCACCATCCAGAATGCAAGATGGAACGCACTAAGAACTTACAAGTAGTAAACGAGATGTGTGAAATGAAGAATTGCAACAAAGCTATCCTGTTTGAAGGTCGAATGAAGCGGGATCTTTACATGTGGTTCGCTAATGTACCCACTGGACCAAGTGCAAAATTTCTCATAGAAAACAGTAAATATTATATCTAATTAATAAATTTTTAATATGGAGCCAACATATACATTTATACATAATTTATACATTTGTATAATCGCACATTTAATTTATTTGTAGTTTATACAATGGGAGAGTTGAAGATGACAGGAAATTGTTTGAGAGGATCTCGGCCATTATTATCATTTGATGAAAATTTCACCACACATGCACATTATAGTCTCTTGAAGGAATTATTGACACAGATTTTTGGTGTACCAAATCATCATCCTAAAAGTCAACCGTTCTTTGATCATGTATACACATTCACTGTTCTAGACAACAAGATATGGTTTCGAAACTTCCAAATTTTAACAGAGGATGGTGCATTAACCGAAATTGGTCCAAGATTTGTTTTGAATCCAGTCAAGATATTTAGTGGAAGTTTCGGCAGTAATACTTTATGGGAAAATCCCAATTATATTTCCCCTGCCAAGGTAATAGAACAGTCTTATTTTATATTTGATAAATGCATTATGATTTATCTGTTTTTTGCATTATTTATATAATGTTTTTTATAATTTATAAAAAATTTTAGCTTCGTCAATCATTAGCAAAAAAGGCTGCTAATAAGTATATAAATAGAGTGGAACAGAAAATAGTACAACAGGCAAATAAACCTGACTTATCCTATGCAATTAATCCCATAGATGAAATATTTAAGGGTGACTTAGTGGAAAAAGCAATAGAAATGGAAGAAAAATTTGAGACGGATAAAAATGAAAATACAGAAAAGCTTGTAAAAAACAAAGTGAAAAAGATAAAAAAAAAGCCCGTAATAGCTAAAAAAGTTAAAAAAGCAAAATCTGTAAAATCAAAAGCTTTAAAAAAGAAGATAAAATGAATATTATTTTGTAATATCATTAATAAAATATATTTTTAATAGGATAAATGAGAGAATGTTTTCTTGTACGATGGAATTATTTAACATCTATAATTAAATAAAACATAATGAGAATTTTAAAATATAAAGAAAGAGGAAAATGATAAAAAAATTTTCTACATTTTTACATTATTTATATGACAATTTCATGAAAATTAATTAAATAATCTCATGTACATATATATATTTACATATATGTGTATAACGTTATTAAGTACATACATAACTAATTTTGAATTGCCTTTTCTTTACAAGTATTGTGTCTGTAAATTATTTAAGTTTAATAATAAAATAATTCAAAGCTATTAATACAAATGTTTTTAATTACGAACATGTGTTTCATATATATGTGTAATCTAAAAAAAATAAAATTTCTCAATATTAGTACAACACGATACAATATGTTATTAATACCATTGAATATTTAGAATATGTTGAATCATACTGCTTTGTACTTTGTCATTAATATGTTATATTTATTAACACAAATTTATATCAATCTAAAATACTTTAAATATATCTTAGAAACTTACAATTAGATATATTTTAATTTATCTCGCACAAGCATTTGCTTCATACATTGTATTAAAATATCTAACAAAATATATTTTGTACATCGAAGTATAAAAGCCTCTTATTATCTAAGTGTGAATTGAATATTTAATTATTTTATTTCAAACTTTTTGATTGGAAGGAATGAAACTTATGTGTAAAGTTTAGAAAATAGATTTTTCATTTGCAATTAGCAGAGGAACAATTCTTTTCATTAGTATAATAAATAATCCACTTTTTATGTGTTGATAATTTCTTGAACTACAAATAATTGCACTTTGTTGCATTAGAATGTGTTTTTTTTTTTGTAAATGATAATTGTACTTTATAGCTTTATTGACTTGCACTCGCTTTTTTTTATACGTACTTAAAATCTAAAAATATTGTTACTCTTATTTCCTTATTATACAAGCAATATTCTTAAGACACAGAGTTTTCAATTTGTGCAATGGCACTTCAATGATACAAAGTTTAGAGAAAAGTTAAAAATCTAATCTAGTCTTTATCTTTATTCATCAATTAGATATTTAATACTGAATAAAACATATATTCCACAAAATAAAAAATTCTTATAAAATATAATACCATAATCTAACTTCTTTTTCAATGATTCTAGTGAATATTGTAAAATATTCTGTAATATCTTAAAATCTGGCAGTTAAATCAAAAGTTAGTGCTAAATACAAGTGGATTTTAAATCTCAAAGTGAGCAATTAATTGACACCACCATTATTTTCTGTTTGCAATTATGAATATTTTACATATATTGAATATTTTACATGTCAATCAAGATTACCAAATATCTCTAAATATCTTTTTAAGATAGCAAAAAGTATAACTAATAATTCAGAATATTCTGACATGATTTATCACAAAAGAAGACCTGTAGTCTTAAGAAATGAGTTCATTCTTAAATACTACGAGAAAAAACAAATTGTTATTATGAAATCACATACAATTAGACAAAAAGTATTTCACTTATTTATAATATACTTTTCTTATCTTAATATAAATCTTAATATAAATCTCATATATTAAAAATATATTATGAAAGAATAATATTTTCATATAATTTAAATATTTCTTTTTAGTTATTATAAAAATTGAAACAAATTATTGTAAGGTTGTTTGCATAACAATACAAATATTGCACGCGTGAACGAAAGGAATGTACTCTTATTAATCTTGTTAGTGATAAAATGCAAGAGTAAGTATTCTATCATATAAAAAAATATGTGTACAA